GATTTCTAGGGCATATTTTATGTTCCAGGTTTTCACTCTCAAAGCTGGTGCTAGAGACTGTATGCTATTTGTACCTCAGCACCTCTCCTTGGGTTAAAAAATGCGAGGAAAGGGACTAACCCATCATAACTCTGGAGTGAGCAGCAGGAGAGCGGCCATAGAATTCTGATTCATTACAAGTGACATCCAGCCAGGATTCTTAGAAGTTGTTGTAAATGTTTTTTTTGTCTCATATAGGGAAGCAAAATATCGAGCTGTATTAAACCTAACAATGAAATTTAATGTTACTTGAGCCACAGATCACCTTTGCAATATTATACTAAGTATGCAATTTATGACTATAAATATTCAATGTTTATATTCAGAGATAAATAAGGATGCACTGAAACCATGGGGAGGAAATGAAGACTGGGTAGGTTTAAAAGTTGGGCTTCATTGGGTGTAGTTGGTATGGTAGAGAGATTTCCAGGCTGTTGGATAGAGAGCCGTGTACCACTGTACATGCAGGGCAAGAGGGAGCCTAAGTTCTCGGAAGTAGAATGAGAGGCCATTCCGGTATAGGCCTGGAAATAAAGATAAACAAGTTATTGGTAAGTAGCCTGAAGCAGTGAGGGGAGATTAAATCACTCAGAGGTAAAAGCTGATAAAGCAAACTGGGTGCTGGGATGGGTAATCTCTTGTTAGAAAATGCCACTTTATTCTAATAGGGTAACTGAAACGATCTCTTTGCATGTCATTTGAGATTTTATGATAAACGTCATATAAAAATATAAATATTACTACAGTCACTTAAACCGGGTGGCTAAAATTTTCAACTTTGCCTCAAATACTGAGCCTAACAGATATTTTAGGCTGGGCTCTGGAAGATCAAGGCATTAGAGGGAACATTCACACCGGCACAGGGCGCGCCATAGGGCCTGTTGCCACGGGCGCGCAGTGCACGCAGGGCGTCTGGGACAGCAGCGTGGTACGCAGTCAGCTGAGGCCTGGGTTTCACAACGGTTTGGTTACAGGTTGGGACAAGATTTTTGAGGTTAAGGTTTAAAAAACAATGCATTTTTCTCTTTGCCTGATCACCATCTTACAGCCTAGTTCAGCAGACTGCTGAACTCCAGGTGTCCCACAGCCAGCCTTCCTGGGACATTTATTTATATTTCAAAGGTAGCCTTTTATTTAAATAAATGCTTGCAGGTATGTTTTGGCATCGATTTAAAGACAAATCAAAAGTAAAAGCACTAGCATAACCCAAGGCAGGTGTGATTGGTATAAGATTACTATTTTCCATTATCCTGTACATCTTCAATATGTTTGCATAAATAGGAAATATTTTCACAAAATAGTTCTGAATATGTCTTACAAAATCAAGGAAAAAGTGTCAAAGCTATTACTTTAGTTTTAACAACATTGGATTTGAAATGCCAAGTTCAGGGGGTACTTCTCAATCCTAAATTTATTTCATTCCTCTGTACAGTTAACTTTGGTACGTAATCTCTAAAATAATCTACCCTGTTTATTTTCCTTTTTGTCTTATTCCTCCTTGACATCTTTGCCTGTGCCTCTTCCTCAACTTTACAGGGCTATACTCAGGTCTGTCATCTGTGTTTGATATATCTTGCATTGGGAAATAGAGCTGTTATCCTAACCTATAAAGCCTAGTCATTAGCAACCTCTCCTTACTCACTGTTTTCCTCTCCCTCACTTCCTATACCTAGTTGGTCAGCAAGTGAGTTGAATTCAGTGAACGTCTGAGTCTGGCTATGTACCCAGCTTTGCAATAGGCATGAAGTATTGTCTTTAAATATCTCGAGCTAGTCTATCCCTATCCTGCCTTTGGTCAGGCTCTTATCATTTTTTTTCTGGACATTTCTGATTTGCAAACATTAATTGAGAGTCCACTCTGTGTCAAGTACTATGCTGAGCAGTGGGGATACAGAAATGATGAAGTTTTTAATAGTAATAAGAGCAACTAACAAGTATATGCAGTATATACTTGTTACATAACAGTTGACTTAGGAAATGTAAACTCGTGGTAAATATTTCATCATGGGCATAGTAACGTGTTAGAGCTGTGGACAGGTTTGCATTGTGGGAAGAGGCAGTCTTGCTTAGTGCAGGGCTGACTCCTCCAAGGAGCCAGCACAAGACAGGCAGCAGTGCTACTCGGAGGAGCAACGGTCAGTCTCTTTCTTGTACTGTTGCTATTTCTCCCTGTGTCGTATTAGCTTGTCTTCAATTTTGTTTTACTGTTTTCTCCCCGGTGTTTTATAATCTTTACTGGAAAGCTACCAAGACTGCAGGGCTGGATTTCATTTTTAGTTTATGGGAAATGTTATCTGCACAGAATATTCTCTAATAGAATGGTTGTGTAAGCAATTTGCATACGATGTGTAAGGTACAGAAGTACCACGGGAGGAATGCATTGAGTAGGTCAGGGAAGACTTGATGCAAATGGTCTAATTGAGTAGGGCTCTGAAGCTGGTGACACGGAACAGGCGAGTGGCGTATATGAAAGCACCAAAGTGCGTATTGGTAACTGCAAGTCATTTCTTAGCTCTGGAATATAATGGACAAGGAAGGCTTTGGCTGGACACAGTGAGGGCAGAGGAATAGTCAGGGGCCGTAGAAAGACCAAAAAGCATTTTGTTTTCTAGGCCAAGGAATGTGGGCACTGCAGAGCTTCTGAAAGGTTTGAACCAGCGGAGGGAGCTGGGTTTCTGTTTTAGCAGAAGTGCTAGCCTCCGTGAGACCTGCCCTGCATTCTGTCCTCTCTGTCACCAGTCAGCTTAGTAAAGACACCAGGCCGGTCATGTAAATCCCAGCTGAAAGCTGAAGATGACTCCCAGATTCCAAAGTCCAATTTCGTGCAACTTCTGTGAGGAAAGTGGCTGCATCCCCTGCCTTGAACAGTTTTTTTTCATCACACACCCACATGGCTCACTCCTTGGTTGTGTTCATGTCTGTGCTGAAGCATCACACCAGAGACCTTCCCTGCTGTCAGAACCAGCAACCCCGTTACTCCTGAGTTCCTCACCTTGCTTTCCCACCCCCGCCCCAGCCCCAAAATTACATGTTTAAGTATGTATGTATCCTCCCACTGGAGAGTAGCTTTATGAGAACAATAGTTTTAGTGTGTTTTGTTCACTACTGAATGTGCGGGGCTTGGCACATGGCGAGTGGTATCTGTTGAAAGGATGTGGTCCCAACCAGCATCTCCCTTCTCCTCTCTCTTGAACCCTGTGCTTCACACTTTAGTCAGGGGACTTCTAACACAGTTCACCATTCCTCAGTCACGTTTCCTCCTGAAGTCCTGTTCCTACTTCAAGATTCATTTCATATACCACCTTTTCTGTAAACATGTCATTGCTCCCAGTACTTAGCTCCCATAACACTTTTCAAATGTGTAAGAGAAAAGTGTTTTCCTGGACCGCCCAGGGCATGATAGGTGCAAATAAATATTTGTGGTAACAAGTGATTGCTCTGTAGAGAGTTAGTAGACATGCATAATAGGTAAAAGTTCAAGTTCAGTTGATTAATTGGAGAAATGTAGCTATTAGATGTAACTTGAATTTGATTATAAATGCAATATGATTAAGGGAAAATACCTAGAGAAACAGTCACCAATCTATTAATTATACAGTTACACAAACAGTCTGGAGATAGTTTTACTGACTTATTTTGTATGTATTCTGTTTTACCAATTTAGTAATCTTTTTAGTAGAACAAACTATAATAAAAAAATAGAAATAGGCAAGGTCTGAAGAAAATACTTGTTAGGGACAGTGTAAAAAATGTTAAAATTTCATATTTACCTTTTGCAGAAAGTATTATTTCTCCACATATAACATTACAAAATTATCTAGGGATGTTTGATTGCATCAAATTAATAGCACTATACTCAACACAATTTCTCCTTTTTAAAGATAGTATCACTTGAAATGTCAAAAATGTCTGTTTTCTTGTTAAAACTGGAAAAAAAGTGTTATAAGAACACTCCAGATAATTCTTCATTTTTCTTTCAAATGGAAAGGCACAGGGGCATGATCAAAAGATTACTTAGTTTTGTTTTGTTTTTACCAGTTTCTCTGTTTCTGTTTCAGCATGGATGTCTGATGATCTGTCAGTTCACCTTCCATGTGAATTTCTACTGTGAATTCCTGGCTAAGGCCTTTGTGTGAAGTAGCCCAGCTTCCCATTGCTAAACTGAGGGTCCACGCCTCATCACAGGTGTCTTTTTCCTCAATTGAAAACCACACCAAATGTGGGGGTTTCTCTGAATTTTCTAATGGAGGCACACACTATGGATACTGCCAATAAAGTGGCGGTCATAAAAGCAAAATTTTTCAGTAATTACAGTTAATCTCTAATATTTGTCAATCGGCAAATAAAAATATCTAAAGTCAAATGTTTTCTTGTTTTAATACTGGAGGATCCCATTAGAGGGTGGTATAACCATCTGAGGATTCCACAGGGCTTTGGCACATTGTCACGAACAGGATGAAATGGCTCAATACAGGAGGCTGGGACGATGAATATAAGTTTTTTATTTAGGGTTGTTCTTATTTATCTACAACATCAATGGTGCCAAGATGCATCTTGTGGACAATTGCAAGGGAAGCATGATTTTCACATAACTTAACCAGATTTCTTTTTTTTTTTCCTTCTCCCTAACGATGTTTGTGTTTAAAGGGGAAAAAAATCCTAGTAGGTTTGTTAATTGGAAATCTCTATGCCACAAATGTATGAAGTGTTTAAGATATACTCAGCATTTTCCTACGATAGGTTCATGATCTTTAAATAAAAATTATAAAGAACTTTATCCATTCCCCTGTTTTACTTAATTAAGATTTAAAAGGAGCATTTTGAAAGGATTTATATAAACTTAAAGCAGATTTCAGATGTTTGTTTTATGAGTGAAATATTTGAGGAGGTGCTATGTAAGGCAATAGAAATTACTGCTTTATCTTGTTAGAGTATTTTATGGCATTTTGTTTGTTTTTCAGCATCAAGCCAATCCCGCCTGAAGGAGTCAAGTCGAATCCTTCCAAGCGACATAGAGACCGACTCAATACTGAATTGGACCGTTTGGCGAGCCTGCTGCCCTTTCCACAAGATGTTATTAATAAGCTGGACAAACTTTCCGTTCTGAGGCTCAGTGTCAGTTACCTACGAGCCAAGAGCTTCTTTGATGGTAAGACAAAAGGGTTTAATTTTTCTGTAATCACTTACAAAATACTTATGTTGAATTTGGCTGTTTCTGCTTCAGTGTTGAAAACTGCAAAAATTAGCCATATGTGAAAAAAGTTTTGTGTATTGCTGTATAGTAAAACTTAAGTGGCATAGCCAAATTTCTAATATTTCCAAAAGTCAGTTTTCCAGATTTATTCACTAAACAGATGCTTCTATTAAATGATAATGTGGTGTCATTCTTTGAAAAATTATGTATTTGGAACTTGTGCTCATATTAAGTATGTCAGTTCCACTTCTTTATCCAATTCACTTTTTAAAAGTCTCTCTTTTTTAATGGAAATAGTAAAGTACATATTAATTACTATGGATTTCCTTCAGTATGATTTTATAGATATGTCATTTCATTTATTCTTTCACAATTAGGTATACTTCTGCTTTGTGTTAACTGTATATTTATCTAGGAAAATGTAATTAAAATTTTCGTTTTCCCCTGGAAAGGGCATTTCATTATAGAAATCAGTAGAATTGGATTTAATTCTCCACTGTGCTACTGACAAACTATTTGACAAACCAAGCCAGATAGCATCCTCATAGCTCAATTTACTCAGCTGTAAAGTTAGGGTGATTATTTATTACCTTTAATCATACAGTGTTTCCTAGGCATGAAGCATTTTATGGAATTTTTGTTGCAAAGTATCTCAGTGTGTCTTCTCATTTAAAATCATTTCTTGATTTCTCTTTTTATCTGTTTCTGTGTCAGAAACAGATTTTTTTTTTTCAGGAAATGCCCAGTCTTTTAAATATATCATGTTATTTTATAAATAGTAGTAAAAAACTGATGATAAAATCTCAAGGGCCTATGTCAGTGTTGTCTCTCAGATTTCAACGTGCTTACACATAACACAGGGACCTTGTAAGGATGAAGGGTTTTATGCAGTAGGTTTAGGTGTGGCCAGAGGCTGGCCTATCTAACATGTTCTCAGATGATGCTGATACAGCTGACCAGGACACATTTACAGATATTTGAATTTGTAATTTTTGTTTAGAATAATGCAAAAAGTTATTTCACTTTAGGTTTATATTTAGATGGTTTGATGTGTTTAGTCTGAGCATCTTTTTATTTTTTGTTTGCTTGCTGTACTTTATTTTGGATAAAAGCTATATGGTTTAATAGTTATGATCTGGGCAATAAGTGATTTGAGGGTAATAATTGCAGGGGTTCATAGTAGACACTTAAATTTTCTCTGATCTGTATAAAAAGTCTTTCTTTTCAGTTTTCACTCTATCAGACCCTTCATCTTGTGGATGAGTTAAGTGGGTTGGGGGGAGGTGGGTGGGGGTGTGTCTGTGTGTGTGTGTGTGTGTGTGTGTGTGTGTGTGTGTGTGTATACACACACACTCTGTAGCCATTTCATGATAGAGCTGAAACTAGAAACCAGACTTCCAGATTCCCAGTATTGTATTTCCTGACTCTGTGTCAGTTCCTTCTCTTTTCTAGGAACCATCTGTATAGCAAAACCCTGAGAAATTCTCCCTAGATCCCCAGTTCTCAAAGTATAGTCTGCAGACAAGCAGCAGCAGCATCACCTGGGAACTGTGAGCAATGCCAGAACTTGGGCCCCGCCCCAGACCGAGGGCATCATAAACTCCGGTGGTGGGGCTAGATCTGCGTGTGGGCGTCTAGGAGCCCCTGGGGCGGACTGTGAGCCAGGGCCACTTCCAGTTTCATGGCCTGTTGTCCTGATCTCCAGCATTTATGCCCTTGCTGTGCTTACTGACTGACCTTTAGCTGGGGTTCCATTGCATGTAAGATGTGCTCTCTGCCCTTAGAGTTAGCAATCTAGAAGCCAGAGAGGCAATAGTCCTTGATTCTGGTAAAGACATGACAGGAGTCATTTTCCCTTCTCATTTTCTACTTCTGTATAATGAGAAATCAAACTGTATGTGAAAAAGAAAAAAAAAATGTATAGGTTGTTCCCTGTTCAGAAGTAGTGGAGTAGAACCAAAGCTACTTAGTGAGTTTGTGCCAGTGTGCCATTTAATATTAACATAATTACTGCTTTTCTGGGCTGTGTGTATGCATATATACATTAATGTGTATGTATATTTAGTGTATAAATTTATATACATTTTTGTTCATGATTAGACATGTATGTTCTGTTCAGTACCTCAAATGAAGGAGTTTCCAAAGAATGTGGTAGTTTAGCTGGAGTTCTAGTTACAAAGTATTTTCTTAGCTCTTCATTAATGAGTTTGTGTATCTTTTTTTTTTTATTCTAGTTTAGTATATTTGACAGTAGACTCTTACTCCTTTATTTGCACCATTACTTTATCAATTATATTATCTTGAATTTTAGGTCCTTTGCATTACAGGTTTTTAAACTTCAGTGTGCATCAGAATAACCTGAAGGGCTTCTAAAAAAATGCACAAGCTCATTTTGGCACATAAAAGGCACATAAAAACGGTATGTTGAGAAATATATTTCTGGGGTACAGTCTGAGGTATGCACCTTTCATGCTGATTCTACATAGGTTCTATGTGGAGCCCAGGAACCTATAGTTTTAATAAGCACTCTAGATGATCTGAGGCAGTGATATAATTTGGCCTTGATTATACCCTGAGTTACTTTTTTAAATCATTGTTTACATTTGCAGTCTGAAAGACAAATCCGAATGTACAGGATTTTGGGAAGACTGTAAATGTGTTTGCTTGGGTTGCAGTGGGATGCGTACCCTAAGCAGTTTCTTGGGTTGTTCAGATACAAGAGTTAGATGGGAGGAGGTGAGGGAAATCAGTAAAAAAGATCCGGAAGTCCTGATCAGCCCACCAGTGGTCTAGGATGGGAATGCAGTCTTCTAGAGAACACAGTAAACATTTTAAGGTAATCCTTATGACCTGGAGAAACACTCAACGCAAACGAGGAGACCTGGAGCATGCTGAGAGTGATTAGGGTTCTTGTGGGCTAACATCACTATTAGGGAAACAGTATAGCGAAGTGAAGGGAAGCTCTAAAAGAATAACAGGATGCAAACAGGGGGTGTGTGAATTCCTGCGGAAAGAACAATGTAAACGAGTAATCATACAATCTTGTTAGAAAGGAAACTCAAGTTTTACTGTAACAATAGATATTTTTCCAAGAAAATACATCTATTTATTGCAAGTTTAAATAATCCAACTTGGATGGATCTTCTTAAACTTTGGAGCCAGGACTATCTTGCTTAAGCGATACTTAAAAGTTTTTAAGCACAACACTAATATTTATCCATATATAATTAATTAAAACATTCTAAAGTATAACTTTGAAGGGCTTGAACAAGACTTAGCTATTTTTCAATTATGTTAAGATTAGAAGCAGTTTCTTTACAATATTAAATTAAAATATTTTATAATAAATTTGGTAATTCAAGAATGTGCTTTGTTCTAAACACTGCAGATTCTGAATTGACAAAAAAGAAACAGAGGGAAGAGACATTTCTGTCCTCTAATAGCTCAAGGTCTAGTATTTCAGGAACTGACATAACAGTATGTGAAAACCTTTAAAATATACATATTAAATATTTGTAATGCAACATTTAAGGAGCATTTTCAAGGGAAAGAAAATGCTATTTACATGCTACTTAATAAATGTTAGTTATTAGTTTGGATTTCAACCAAAGAAATAATCGCAGGAAACTTCTAATGTCTGATCCTTGACAACTCTTGAACTATATATATCCCAAATAGTAAAGCTCAGAGAATTGTTTTTCAGTTTGGGCTCTCTGTTTATGCTGCAGACAAAGTAATCATTATCAAATGTTTTATCATGTAGTGCTTTATTTGGGAGGTACACTTAAACATGCCATATATTGCCTGTTTCTCTCACTAGAATGGAAATTCCTTGAGAATACTGTTTCCTTCCATATCTTGGGTAAACTCCTAAAACAATGCCTGCCACATTGTAGGCATTTAATTAATATCAACTTAATTTCACTATGTCTGAGAAACAATGTAAAATTCATATTGAATATTCTAGATGATGTGTTTAGAAATATATTTCTGGAGCTTGGTTTAAGATTATTTTTTTACTATTTCCAGATAATCTGTTAATAGCCAATTTGCCAATATTGGTTGTATCAATTATTTATTCTTGCTCTGTAAATATCCAGATGCAAGAAATCATTTTTTTAACTGAATTGTTGCAGTTAGACATTTTTAGCACGGTCACTGATTGGCTGGATCAGAGAGTGAAAGGTGTACGAGTATTTGAGGACTCAAATGTCAAAGCCCTAGAAGCCTTTTTGAAGCAACTAGTATCATCTGCATCCTTTCTTGGTGCTTTCGGCACTGCCCCTGGCGTTCCTAGCCATAGCCTTTGCTCCTTTGCCATCATTTTATATACATCATCTTGTTCCTGGGCCACTGCACCTTTTCTTCTTTGCTGGATATTCCTTTTGTTCTTCCCAGCAGTCTGCAATCTTGTTACATTTTTGTCAGCATTGATGAGATGTACAAATAGAACTCTGGGCTTAAAAAAAATCACCCCCTTTGTAAATGTGGGATATGTCAAATTCCAGAATAAGGTGATAGTGTATTGTTTATTTCTGCACAATGGACACATTTAGACATGTTTTAGGATTAATAATATAGTAATAACAGAAATAATAGATTAATTAAAATGATAGAATCTGTTTAAGCTCTATTCCGTTTCCTCAGTAGCTCTGCTCTTTGTTGCCTTCTATTCTTACCTGCTTATTTTTATTTTTCAAAGACTTCTCTTAATTATTGTCTTCTCTAAATTATTATATCTTTGAAGTACTTTTGGAGAGCCTATTTTGTTTTTAGCACATAACAGAAAGCTAATATTGCTGTTTTCTTATGTTGGCAATTAAACATGGTCGAGTGCAATTTTTTTACCTCTCAAAATAGATTAAATCAAACCATCAGGGAGCCGGAGGCCGGCTAAGTGGTCATTCGGGGCTGTGACTTGACAAGTCAGCTTGCATTTAATGTCCCAGAAATAC